GGGGGGGCACATCTCAGCCCCCTGCGGTGGCAGCTCAGGGCCTGATCCAGCTCTGAGCAATGGTTTTCACGGGGCATCCCCTGGGCTGGGGACCCCAGGGAAAGTTGTCCCGATGGTGTGGGAGCAGAGGGCAAGAGATGCTGCTGGGCACAGTGGGTTCGTTGGTGGGTGCAGAGCACTGTGCAGGAGCTGGGGTGGTGCAGGGGGCTCGTTGCTGGTGCTGCAACCCCATCCCCAACATATCCAAACATGCAGCCCCAAGCCCAGCCTGTTGGTGAGGACAGCACTTTGCTCACCGTCCCCTTTGTGCTGAGGACTGCAGCACAATCTCCATGGCTGTGCTCTGCCCTCCAGCCCCTCCTGAGCCTGTTTACAGACCAGGAGCCGAGGATGATTCCTATAGGATTGATTCCTATGGGATTGTGTACACGGTGCCAGGGCACATACCACCCTGCTCCCTGGCAGCAGCATTGCTGCATTCCAGATACCTGAGACCCTCTGGGCTGCGATTCACTGGGCTGTCCCATCGCTCCCCCTTCCCAAACACAGCCTCCCGCCGTGCCCTGCTCCCAGCCGGCCCCTCATGTCCCAGCCCTGCCGCCTCCATCCATCGCAGCAGACAAAGCCCGGCCAGACAAAGCCCAGCCCCGGCCCTGGGCAGCCTCCTGTGCTGCACCACACGGCGAAGGCACATCCCCTCCTGCAGCACCGCCAGTACCCACAGCCCCATACCTTCCTCCATAGGCGTCGGGAGCACGTTGGCACCAGCAGTGCAGCGAGGCCACGGGCACCCAGCCCACCACCACGCACCCAGCAGGCATGCAAAGGAAGGCAAGTCATACCTTCCTCCTCTCCAGCTCCATCATCCTCCATCCGTCCTGCTCCGGCCAAGCGGCACTCCGCCACGCTGCCCGTCCTCCATGTGCCGCACGACGATGGGCTGCAGACCCTCCTCTCCCCTCCGGCTGGCTTCGGCCCCACGCTGCCTGCTGGCATTTTGGCAGCCTCGCCGCTCCAGCGATGGCATGCGTCCATTTTTTTTTTTCTCCTCGCTCCCTTTCACAATCCATCCCCAGCCTCGCTGCCTCCGGAGCCGCCTGTGGTGCCAGCGCAGGGAACTTGGCAGCGTGTAGCGTGGGGATGCTCCGCAGCTGAGCAGAGCCCCTCTGCCATCACCCGCCCTGGCACGGGGCCGGGGCCACGGGGGGCTGTTGTTGTTCCCAGCACTGCTGCCAAAAGCCAAACAGGGGGGGGGGAAAAAAAGGAAAAACGCAGAGCGAGGATCTGGCAGCGGTGCCATCGCCGCGTGCGGGGGACCTTTCCTTTTGGCACATCCTCATCCCTCTCCGGAGCACCCTGGTGCCACGTGGGGAGGCTCGGCCCCATCTGTCCCCACGTCCCCACGCGTACCCCACACCGATGAGCAGGAGGCGACGACGGCAGCAGACCCGTGCGGCGACGCTGCGTGGTGAGCACGGCTCCCAGACACACCTCTTACCCAGCATCCACCTGCTGCGAGAGGGGGGCCCAGGAAATTGGGAAGGAGAAAGCGGGGAGAGGCTCTGTGCCAATGGGTGGGAGGCTTTGGGGTCCCTCCCGGCTGCAATGGGTGGCCTCCATGGCCTCGTGCCATGTGGTGTCCGCATGCCATGCCCCAGCTGTGACCACCAGCCATCAGCAGGGCAGGTGAAGGCACTGTGACCCTCCACGCCTCTCCAGTTTTCACCTTTCTGCCCTAAATTCCTGGTCTTTGCGGCTTTTTGGAGAGGGATGCAGCCAGAGCTGGAGCTTGGTTGCATCTGAGGGATGTGCATAGGTGTACCTGGGCAAGAGTCAAGGAGTCGAGTCACTGAGAGCCACATTTCTGGCAAGCTCCCATGTATGAGGATCCGCAGGGGTGCCTGTGCTGCCTCATCATCCTCCGCAGCACAGCCCTACAGCACAGCTTCCTGCCATTCCCATTAAGCAGGCTTTCCCCTAACTGGGGATGTGTTTGCTGAGCTTGGCACAACACGTCAGGAGCCCCTGGGGCTGCATGTGGATCACAGCATCCTCATGCCACGCTCCTACTGTGCAGCACCCGCTGTCTGTGCTGCAGCACGTCCCCAGCCCCAGAGCCAGCAGCTCCCAGGATGGCAAGGCCATAGGAAGAGCCCCAGAGGCCAACCCCTGTTCCTGTATCCTCGTCCCCATGCCTCCTGTCCCCCAGCCGGGCCATGGCACACGTGTGCCCACCATTTCCTCCAATAAGCAGCTAATCTCCATCCATCATAATTTCACACAATTATCATAATAGGGCCATTTTGCACTTATCCTCTCTGCATGAGGTTGGAGGCACTTAGGGTGGCACTTCACACCGAGTGCCTCCGTGCTGCTCCCTGTCCCCTGCCTTGGGCTGTCCTAGCCAGGGTGGCTCATCCTTGCCCCAAAACTGCTGTGTCCCCACATCCCTGTCCTTCACTGTGTCCCCATGTAGGGCCCTATCCCTTCCTGGCCACCCCTGCATGGCACAGGGTTGCAGCTGCAGTGCTTCCCCTGAACATCAACCTCCCCATAAAATAGTGTTGTTTACACCACATTTCTAATAATGTTCCTTTTTTTTTTTTTTAATAAATACGGATGTTGCCACAAGTAAACTCTAATGCAATAAAAGCTTTCTGCTGGATCCATAATTAATCAGCGAGCTGCTTGATGCAATGCGCTCCCAACAGCATGGGGTGTGCGGCTCAGCCCCAACTAAAGGAGGAGGGTGGGGGGGATGAGAACCACAGTGGCCCCAAAGGGCTCATCTGGGGACACAGAGCTGCATGGGGGCACAGACACTCCCAGGACCCCGGGCTCGGGTGTGGGGACCATCAGAGTGATCTGAGCATCATCCCCCAGCGGATCTGGGGTCCAGATGGCCAATGGTCAGCAGGTGCTGAGGGATGGAGCAGCAGAGGGCAGACATCTGCTGTGCATGTGGGCAGCTGGCCATGTCCCCCCCACTCTGGGACACAAACTGAAGTAACAGAGCAGCATCCCGCCCTGTGCTGTCATATGTCTGTCCCCATACTGTGCACCCCATCCCCACACCACCCAGGGATGTCAGGACCAGCAACACTCCAGTGCCACCAGGGCCCACCCTGCGGCTGCCGGGAGGGTTAATCCCTGCAGCGTGCAGTGGCCAGGGAGCAAGGGAGGCTGGTGGCAGATGGCAAGTGCAAGAAGGGGAAGGAAGGTGGCAGGGCGGTGTGGAGCAGAGTGGGTGCAGCTGTAGGGTGACACTTGGGTACAGCAGAGCCCTGCTGGTGGGGAGGTGGGCACCTACTGGGAGAGGATGGGACCACATGGCTGGGTTCCTCCAGCAGCACTGCTGCACTGGGGAGCTGTGCATTAAGGAGGAATGCAATAGAAAGGCAGCTGTGCAGTGGGAAGGAAGCCACGTAGTGTGGAGCTGTGCAATGAGGTTCACCGGGGAGCAATGCAATATGGAAGGCATCATGCAATAGGAAGCTGTGCAACACAGAGCAGTACACTGGGGAGCTGTGCAATAGGAAAGGAATTTGCAAGTGGGAGCTGTGCACAGGGACAGAGCTCTGCAAATGAGATGGAGCGATGTAATGGGGAAGAAACTGTGCAGGGCAGAGGGAACCGTGCACTGAAGGAGCTGTGCAATGACAGATCCGTGCGGTGGTTGATCTTTGCACTGGGGAAGGAGCCACGCTGTGAGGAAGGAGCCGTAACGGAGCAATCCTTGCAATGGACAGCCAGCCGTGCCCAGGGGAGCAGCACAGCCTGAGGAGCTGGGGGTCAACGCGGTGGGGCAGCCCCTGGCCCCGCAGCCGTCCCCACACCGTTCCCACCCCGCCATGCCTGGCTGGGCCGCATTGGGCCACGAGGTGGAAACACAGCTGGGGGTGGGCGGCCCGCCGTCACCCCACCGTGACGGGGAGCAGGAGGCCATGGGTCTGCGCTGTGCCCTGCGGAGCCCTGTACTTCCATCTCGGCCCCGCACCTCCACGTGCGCCCGCAGAGTCCCGGTGCGAACCCTGCGCCGTCCCCAGCCCGTAGTGCCACCACGGGACAGCACGGTGCGGCACTGCGACATCACGGCCACGCTGAGAGCCCCCTGCCCGGCCTTCTGCGTGTGTCTGCGAGCGTGCCACGTGCGGCCGAACCCCCACAAAAGGCCGCGGGGCGGAGGGAGGAAGCGGAACGTTTTGGCAGCGGAACGTTCGTTCCGGGCGCCGTGTTCCCGCCGGAGCCCGCTCACAAAGGAGCGCCCCTTGCGCACTGCCGGCGCCGCCAGGTGAGGCCCTGGGGGGCTGCGGGGCCCGGCGCTGCCCTGCGGCCGGCCGGCTGGGAGGCGGGAGTCGGGAGTCGGGGCTGCGTTAAGCGGAGGCTTTGATTGCGGAGTAATTAACGTCTCGCTCATCTGGCGGCGCACGGCCTGCTAGGGTTCCCGCACTCAACTTCCTGCCGTGTGGGCCCGGCCCGGGGCATGCCCTGCTGCCCTGCGGTGTGGGTTTGTGGTTGGAATATCGCAGGGAAAAGGGTTTTGCGGCTGTTCCTCGTTTGCCAGTGTGAAGAGGGGGAGGAGAATCCCTGCAATCGGCTTGGGCCTCCTCGTAGCACCGGGCCTTTCCTCCTTCAGGGCTGTGGCATTTCTTACCACGACCCGTGGTGGTTCTGCAGTGCCAGGAGTTGATAGGAGCTCCCCACCCTGCTGTCCTTTCCTGCTCTGGCCCTGCAGGGCTGGGCTTGAGCCATCTCTTCCAGGGCAGCGAGCACACATAGGAGATCACAGAGTGGTTTGTATTTGGAAGGGACCTCTAAAAACAACCTGGTTTCCTCTCCCTGCAATGAACAGGGACACACACAGCTCCATCAGTGCTCAGAGCCCCTCTGGTCTGACCCTGAGAGGGAGCATCCACCACCTTTCTGGACAACCTGTGCCACTGTCTCACTGCCTGTATGGTAAAAAATAAACAACGTTTCTTCCTTATATCCAGTCTAAATTTCTCCTCTTTTAGCATGAAACCATTTGCCCTTGTCCTGTCACAACAGACCCCGCTGAAGTGTCAGTCCCCTTCCTTCTTATAGCCACTGCTAGGTAATGAAAGGCTGCTCTCAGATCTGCTTGGAGCCTTCTCCTCTCTAGGCTGAACAGCCCCAGCTCCCTCAGTCCGTCCTCGCAGGGGAGGTGTTCCACCCCTTGGATCATTTTGGTGGCCTCCTGTCCACACTCCAGCAGGCCCACGTGTATCCTGTGCTGAGGACTCCACATCTGGGTGCAGTGCTCCAGGTGAGGTCTTATCAGCATGGAGTAGAGGACCACCATCGTCTACCCAGGAGAATAGATGAGCACTTGTGTTGCTGGTTATCTCTGAGCAAAGTAAAGCAAACAGCTCTGGCATGACCCTGCTCACACACACACACACACATACACACACACACAGTGAACGCTACTTCTGTGAAGCCCATAAATGCACAGGGCCAGCTGAAGGTGCTGCTGTTTATTGTTCCATTAAATCCGGACTGGCGCTGTGCTGGAACAGGGATAATGTGATTTTTGGAAGCTGCTGTTCTGAAGCAACATCTAACACCTGCTCCAGAGCCTTGCGAGGAAAAGCAAGAATGCCAAGTGCACTTAGCTGCGCTGGACTGCAGCATGGTGTGATGCTGGCAGGCGGTCACTTCCCATTAATGCCCCTCTTAATGCCTGGGGCATTAACATCTCACCAGCACACCAGTGCTGGGCACAGGCCGGGTGGAGGCGATTTGATTGCGTTCTCTATTTTGTATTTTAGTCCGTACAGAGAAATGGAAAGATATCATGCTAGTTTTGTCATGACCTGCTTTGTTTTTTTTCCATCCTTACAGTAGAAATCACGAGTGCGCTCGGGTGACACCCTTTGGGTTGAAGCTTTGCCCCCATGTTTCCGCAGAAAATCACAAGTTTCTTTTGCAGAAGCAGAAATTGAGGTTGATATGCAAAAGAAAAAGTTTGCAAAGCAGCTTCCGCTGGGAGAAACGCTCTGAATGTGGATGAGGGAGTCTGCAGGGCTTGCAGCCACCTCTCTGCAAAAGCAAACGCTGAGAATCATAGAATGGCTTAAGCTGGAAGGGACCTCAATGATCAACTAGTTCCAACCTCTGCACACAGCACTTGTTGCTGTCAGTGAAGTATCTGAGCTCGGCTCTTCCCTGAGTCGTTGCCAGCTCCCTACATCCTTTTTGTTCCAGCTCCTCCCCATGGTGGGAAGCTGAGCTGGGAGCTGTTGGTGGAGTGGCTTATCAGTGTTATAAAAATCACAGTTGCCAGCATCAAGGAGATAGCGTGTACTATCACCTCAGCTTCTGACTGCAGCTCCAGGCCCTGTGCAGGGGGAATTTTTGGATTTGAGGTGGCTCCTCTTGGTCTGTCACATCTTCCTCTTGTCTCTGGCACAGTGGTGGACTCCCTTGCAAGGTGCTCCTGTGGCTGAGGCATCCATCTCCCCATTCTGTTCTTGCAAGTTCTGCACTGCATTCACTCTCCCAAACGCTCCTGTGAGATGATCCAAGTGCTGGCCAGAATTACTGCACAGCCTTTTCTCTTTGAAAGGTGACAAAACATTTCTGCCAGCCTGTGATCTTCCTATAATCAAAGAGTCTAATGACTGGTAAGCCTTTAGTGGTGCTGGTGCTCCTTCCAGCTCCCTCCTGGAGCTTTTCTCTGTTGAAAAACCTTGTCACAGCGAGGAAGCCAGGCTGGGTGCCTGGCCTGAGCTCTGCACCAGTGGCACAGCTGAGCTCGGCGCTTTCAGCAGCATTAGAACAAACCAGCAGCTGTTGCTTGCTGGGAAAGCAGCTGCGTGGCGAAGGCTCTGCTGCCTGTGGCTGCCCGGTGGTTGTTAACCTCCTGACTGGTCTGTCGTGTAAGGAGGCTTTAGAGCCAAAGCAATGCTTGTGATGGATGGGCCGTCAGGTCACGGGGGCTGGGTGCTTGCCTGTGCTCTGGTGTGAGATTGCTTGTAGGAAGCAAATCTCTGCTGGGCTGGGGCTTAGGGAGCTTGGTGTTTGTGTCTCGGTGTCAAACTGAGCACAGAGCAGGGCAGATGTGAAGAAAAGTGCAGAGAGTGAGTTACCACTGTAATTACTGAACTTCTTAAGGTGTTGGTCAGCTGGGTTAGAATGGCAATGCAGGCAGCCGTTACTCCATGTCCTAATATTAGGGATCGATGAAAACTATTGTGTAGTTTAAGTTAGATTGTTAGGTTGCACGGGGAAGGGTCTCTGAGTCCTGTTCTATCTATCTGTCTATCTATCTGTCTGTCTATCTATCTGTCTGTCTATCTGTCTATCTATCTGTCTATCTATCTATCTGTCTATCTATCTATCTATCT